TTTACAGAAAAGTTAAAAGAGTTGCCTTTTTTACTGTCTCTGGTTTCTCTTCTTCCTTTCTTTCTTGAACCCACTGTAGTAAGACTTCTGTCCCTTTCACCCTCAGGGTCACCACACGCCTCCACAGCTCCAAACCCAACATCCACTGCCAGTCCCTGTTTGGTTTTCTATAGTCTCTTTTGTTGGTCCCCCTTCTCCCTGAATCCCTGAATGCTGAAGAATCCCAGGGCTCATTACTGGGATCTCTCCCCTTCTTTATAGTTTCTTATCCAATTTCATGCTGATGGCTCCCAAATTTATATCTCTGGACTCAATATCTGCCTGGAATTCCAGACTACTTTGTTCAACTGGCTCTCTGACATCTCTACTTACATGTTTAATAAACATTTCAAGCTTAACATTCCCCAAACCAACTCTTTATTTCTTACCCCAATCCTGAGCCTCCTGCAACCTTCTCCAACTCAATTAATGGCAACTTCATCCTCCCAGTTGCTTAAGCCAAAAACCTTGGCCTCTCTTTCTCTCTGACCCCACCTTTAATCCATCAGAAAATTCTATTAGCTCCATCTTCAAAAGATGTCCAAAATCTAACCTTTTCTTCCCACTGTCTAAGCCATCCTACCTGGTCTCCCCACTTCTATCCTTGACCTTACAGACTTTGGTCCCCACAATCACCAGGGACATTCACTGAAAACTGAAGTCAGATCATGTCATCTCTTGCTTAATCTTATTCAAAGTAAAATACCAAGTCCTCACTTTACCAAAACAGTCCTACATGATCTGGGCCCAGCTCCTTTCTCAGCATCACTTCTTACCACTCTCCACCTATTCACTCAACCCCACATGGCCTCCCTGCTATTTCCCAACCTTCCCAAACACAATCTCTCCTCATGGCCTTTGCAGTTTCCTGAATATCTTTCCCCAGACATCCACCTTTAGGGGACTACTCAATGTAATCTCATCATGGAGGTCTCCCCTCATCACTCTAGATAACCAAGCATGTGCATGAGGACGACATGCCCACAGACATCAGCCTCTTGCTACCCTCTTACTCTGATTTATTTTTCTCACCATCATCCAACCTATATTGATTTGTTTATTTCCATTTGCTACTTAAAGTGCGGTCAACCAGCCATCAGCATCAGCATCACTCTGGTGCTTGTTAGAAATGCAGAACCTCAGGCCTTACCCGAGAACTCCTGAAGCAGAATCTGCACATTAACAGGATCATCAAGTGATTCACATGCATTGCAAAGTCTGGAAAGCACTGGGCTAGTTCCTAATCGCCATGAGAATGGGAGCTTGTTTTCCTTTATTATTGTAACCTCAGAAAGCTGAGGTACTCAAAATACATTGAATGAATAAACGAATGAACAAATGAACTATTGCACCTGTTTTGAAAGGGACGCCCATGGATGATGTGCACAAGGTTGGAGAGGGGCAAGAAAGACATTCTAGGTCAAAATTATCCCCCATATATGGTGCTAAATTAGAGACATCATTCATAATGCATATATATTCCCTGAATAAAGCAGTCATTCACAGTTTGCTGTGGATTACCTAAATAAGATAATTATTCTAACATTTAACAGAATCAGCCAAACTGAGGGAATAGGAGTGAAAGAAGAAGGCTGAAAATTTAATAAGTTGTCTACTCTGTACTGGGCACTGTAACAGGCAAGAGGGTAACAAAGATAAATCAGGAATTTACAGGTTGGTGGGAGAGCAGAGGACTCTTCAGAGGAAGGCCAACAGGGTGGAGCGGCTGTGAGGCGGACTCGAGGAGGCCTGGGGCAGTTAGAGAGGCCGGGGTGCTCTGCTCTATAGCCCCCTGTGCTCTGGCCACAAAGAACCCTTTACTTCTCCTCTGCCTGAAATGCCACCATCAACCCTGCCAACACCTACTCATCCTTCAAAGCCCCTGGTCTTCCAGAACTAACTGTTCCTTCATTTTATTAGCTCTGATCACACAGGATCAGAGTTCATGAGGGGCTTCTATAAACTGCCTTACCCTTATTCATCTCTGTAGTCCCTGCCCCAGCACAGCACCTAGACAGAGTAAATGTTCAGTCAACTTCTGTCATTTTATAAGAACGAGCATTAACAAAGTACTTACTATGTACCAAGCACAGTTTTAAACACTTTAGCTGTATTAAACTCATTTCATCTTCACAATGACCCAGTGAGATTGGAGCTATTATTGCCCCCATTTTACAGACAAGAGAACTGAGGCCCAGAGAGGTCACATAAAGGAATGGACATTGTACCTGCACCTAAAAGACAACTAGGAAATGTTTACTGACATGAACCAAATGGAAGATCAGTAGTTAAGAAGATCAGGAAGTCAAATTTGAACTTCACCAATCTGCCCAGAGCCCCAGAGGGCAGAAGAGGATAGTGTCAGAGCTGGCTGCTGTAAAGCTCCTTCCTTTCCACACCAGTCTCCCACATCCAGAGCAGAAGTCACTGCCTGGGAGCAAGGGTTCCCTGGAGATGGAAGTTAGGAGCAGAAGTCCAGCTGAGGACACTTAAGACAGCATCCTCAAGAAGGAACCCCAATACCTCAGGAATATTAAGGCAGAGGAATCACAGCAGGGGCTCCAGGACACAGAGGTCCTGAGCAACCGCTACAGCGCTGTCCAAAACCAGGGCTATGTTACCCATTCTTCAGCCAAGGCAAATGTCTGGCCTAGCCTTGCTTAGAAAACAACGAACAGCAACAAGGCAAATGACATGACTGCAGCAAGCGAGCACTTTCAGGAGGCTCTAATCAGTATCAGAGGTTTGGCTTCTCATGCAATTCGGCATCATTCACTCCACAGCGAGTGGCAGCACCAAGCCACAGCCACGGCACAGAAAAAGTTCAAAACCAGGTTGTTTGTTGAAAGTCAAAGGTCCCAGGAAAGTGTCATCTGTTCTCCTGCCTCCCTCCTGCCACTGCTTCCCCAACAAACCCCACTGGGACTCCGTGCATTGGGTCTAGGACTCACTCACTCACCCTGCAGTGAAGCTGCCTCAGGCAGAAATCAGAGACCAAGTGAAAGCAGGCAGGAGGCAAGACAGGGAGCCCAGCGTTTAACTCTACCACTGGGAGAGAAACAAAGTATGAAGTTGAATCAGAGGCAAACACATAGGAAACCGAGGAGCCCAGCGGTAGACTCCAGATCCACAGGTGAGCTGGACCACCCGGAACTGGTCAGCAAGGGTGACAGCAAAAAGGACACCCAAAACGCAGAGAGGAAGTAACGAATCACTCCAATGAGATGGGAAAAGACAGAGGACTTACTGATTTTTTCACCATCATTTTAATCAAAGCATCTTTCCTTGACATCCCCAGGATCACCACACTAAGAGGAAAAAAAGGCTAAAAAGGACACCAGGGCTAAAATCAAAAGATACAGATCAGAAGTCCCCTAAGTCAGGCTCTGGCAGGTCTGAAAGAAAAGCCAAGAAAAAGCCACAAAGGTTCAGAGCAGGCAATGCACAAAAGTCGGAAGAGAGATCAGAAATTCAAAGCTGATCAGAGAAAAGCATCTGATGTACCAGGCTGAATAGGATCAATACATAAAATCTAAATTTCACATATTACAAATGGTTGAACATCTATTATTGGCACTCAAAGGAAGAACACCCAAAAGTCAGCATCTCATAAATTGTTTACAAAACTTTTAAGGATCTGATTCATTTTAAATAAAAATACAAAGTGTGTTTCTGATCCAATGAATACTAAGGTATTTACATGTGTTTGAGTCAGAACTTACCTTTTAACCATCATACCAAATACATGTCACTGAAAACTGCTAGAGGCATAAAAACTGGGGGCTAAAGTTCTTCAGAGGTTTCCCTTGGGTCTCAGGCACCCATCCAAAGATTACTGAACTTTCTACCTGCTGTAATCACAATAGACAATTCCTGGACAGCAGCATGCCCACACTGACACCTCAAGTCAGTGACCCTTTAAGTGAATTAAAGGAAAATGTGTTGTGAATTAAGCTGCTGAAGACAGGAAATATTTTTAACCCAAAACTTTCTTATCTAAAACAGTGTGAGTTCCTTCATAATTAGGAAATTTAATCTAATTTGGGGGAAGGGGCACACTGGGGGGAAAAAAAGCAGTTCTCATTAGTCCTTGCTAAAAACCACAGAACTACAGGATCATATTAGCTGAAGTGAAGGCTATTTTTCTTGATAAATTAAATCTACCAAGAGCCCAGAATTTCATCACAAACAAAAGCCTGCCCTTTGCAAGTGCCACAGAAATCATTATTTCAAAGGCGATTGCTGACCTCGCAATAAGTTTTGAAGAACATTCGCGTAATAATCCCCCCCAAACAGTTACAACAGATTTCTCAAAATCGTCCAAGAAATCACAGAAATCTATTTCCTGAGGATTCTTGGGAGTCTAAGAGCCAAGCATGGTTATTTTTAACTAAACTCCTGCAAACAGTGGATTATATATACTTGATCCCTTTGCAAGATGCAAGCAATTATTTTGGGTACCTCTATCCCAAAAGAAGAGGAATCTCCTCTCAACACAGAAAGGAAAATGCTATCTGAGAAGACATGGGAATTGCCTAAAACTCTCTGGGCCACTGCATGCAGTTAAATCAAAGTGCACCCAGCAGACAGCCCACAATATAGTGGACATCCCTACCCTGAAATGTGTCCTACTAAAACACATCCCTTTTAAGGTGTCCTAAACACAGCATGTCTTTATCTAAATGAAGCGTGCCTGTGGGACCACTAGGAAGGAACCGCAACTTGTCCAAAACGGAGATGCGGATGCACCTCTTTTTAGTTCCCCGCCCAACAGTGCCTTCCCGGGAGACAGATCTCCGACAGTTCGCCTGCTGTTGAAGCAGCAAGGAGCGGAGAAAACCCTAGCGCCGGTGCTGCAAAGACCTCTCCATCCACCGCCACCCGATCAGGTGCCCGCCCCGACGGGCGGCCTCGCTCCTCCAGAAAGCTCCGCTGGCTCAAAGCAGCAGCCAAGTGCTTACCCGGGTCGGCCAGGCAGTGCTCAGGGAAGGCCGCCAGCAGCAGGAGTCCCAGCAGCAGCGGCGGCAGCGGCCGCAGGGGCGGCGACGCAGCA